ATATATATATATACGTATAATTATCTGATTGAACGAGGAATGCACTTAGTCGGCTTAATTAATTGTATTAATTCCACTCAAAGATAATAAATCGAATATTAATCCTAGAAATTTATTTATTTTGTATACAATTAATTGATGCGAACACCTGCATATTTAGTAAGACAGATATCACTATAGAGACTAAGTAAAATAATTAGAATGTCTCGTTATAAAGAAGGGTATTCCACACGTCATTTGTGTTATTTACGTCATGCGTCATGAAATCTCTATGACGTCACAACAACAGATACGTTAAAAGCGAGACAGCGTCGTGATGTTATTATTTGAGATAAAGCATTAATTTCAAATGTAATAGGTCGGGAAGTAACAGGGCATATCATTAGCTGATATATCGCTCACATATTGTACCATACAATAACAATACAATATTTTATTTATAGAACCAATTAGAGATATTTTAAACAACATAAACAAACGATATATTAAATAGACTTAATGACGTAGTAACGAAAATGACAATTACTATTGTATGGAGCCCTCCATCATTTGTTTAAAATTACGTCGTTAGTGTTGATGGATTCATAATTACCGTGTAATTTCCTTCACCGTCACCATATCCCGAAAATTGTTTGAATAATAACAAGATGTAATATTGGTCAAACTATAAACCGGAAAATATGCGGGAAATATAAATAACTTCTAACTCGGTCTTAGAATAATAAATTGGCGAGCAACGACAATGTAATGTTTAAGTCGGCGACTGACATTTAAAACCCTGTTTACTTTATAAATGTAGTCGCTGAAAAAACAACGAACTTCATCTCGTAAATTAATGACGCAATGAGTAAAATGACATTTACTATTGTATGGAATACTTGTGTTGTATGATTCGTTTATAATTACGTCATTATTGTTGATGGATTTATGTTTACCGCGTGGTGACGGTTGCTCGAATCTGTCAGGGAAACTGTTTGAATCGAGGGAGTTTTTGCAGAGTTCAACATTGTGTCTCTATACTGAATAACGTGAAGTGAATAACACGATACATAACAAATATAAGTTTGTTTGTTTTTTCGATAATATATGATTGGATTTGAACGTCAGACAGACACATTTAACTCGTTAACACCTGAAATGATGACGTCGAGGTTTAATGGTTACACAGCAATGACGTAACGTTACTGGCGTCATCTGTCAATGACACTTGTGAACAAAAATCGATAGTGGGATTCAATGCAAGGAATTATATAGAAACTGATATCGCAACTATATGTCTAAGCCTACCCATAATCTGATGGAAATCTTTAGTTTTCCCCAGGTTCACAATAACCTTGGGTAGACAAACACTGCATTTCTCAAGTAATAACAATCAATTTGTATTCACTCTCCATGTGTGTTTCAATTAATATGGTGCCGATTCCAATTATGTTGGACAATATTCGCAATAAATAAACATTGTTGCTGTTAAGGGAAATGCTATTGACATTGTTATTAATGTGACTAATATTTCCTCTGCTCCTCTGTTGTCTCTCATAAAATAATAATACGTTTGTGAAAGGGGGTAACAATACCATTATTAAAACTTGAACATAAATCATAAATTCAACATCAGTTGATGAATAAACGGGCTACTCTCCAACAAGGAAATTGTTGTGGATTATGGGTAATTGAACAAAACTCACCTGAAAAGAAATGCATACTTTTATACAATAATCGTGAAAATAAAACTACGATCATTATATTAATGATACGTTACGTCCGTTAAAAAAGAAAAGGATACGCTGTTGATTACAGAAGGTATAGACATTGATTAACCTCCCCTAATACCGAATTCGCAACTCGTTTGGAAGTACGTGATTTCTCATATACGATAAAATATTTTGACTCTGAACTCTGAATGAGTATTTGTCAAACTGTTACTAACTTAAAACTTAATGTTCTGCCTTGTACGCACATGTAATTGCTAGTATGCCACAGGGAAGTGCTATCGTATGATATTATTTAACACTGTAATGAAATTATTGCCCTTTAATATCAATTCTAACAACTATTTACAGTCCTTAGTCATGTCATTAGGATATAACAGTTTCCCTATAAAACATAAGTGTCACTTCACTGTTTGCTGTATAGCACTGCCACCACTGTCTTTATTCTTGTCACTGTCAAATTTCTACGCTGAATTTATTCGGTTGTAAGACCTTAATATGGTCATTCGAACGAGACGTAGTTTAATTAGAACGGTTAATTAGTCTCAGCCGCTTCTCTTTTAGCGTTCATCGATTTCTATGAAGCCTGATTACAATGACTCTACAGAGACGAAGTTGTGCCAGGCAAAAGTTGGTTGCTAAGCGACCACTGATTGCCCAACAAATCGCTACTATTGGAGTTAACAGTTCCCGTAGTATCTCTTGCATACTATATAATAACACTATCAGATAGATACTCTACAAAACATAATATTGTCCGCTTTTGTTATTTTCAATATGGCAGTTTTTTATTTTTCCTGTGACCGTATAGCGCTTAATCCATCTTCACCTACCAGCTTGTATTGAAGTCTTTGGGTGTATGTTTTTACGATATGTATGTAGGTTAGTAATTACACGTGCACTGTCCTTGTTATATCGTATGCAGTTCTATTTATACATTAGTATAGTAATTCAACTGTAATGGTGTCATGAAGAATAATAACAACATATAATGTTGGTCAAATTATAAAGTCAACGAATATGGAAAATACAAATCACGTCTAACTCGGTTCTAGAACAATAAAATGACATTGATATATCAATAATATCAACTGTAGGTGCCGAAACAATCCACGAATTTCATCTCATAAATTCATACTTTCAGGTCGGGTCTATTATTAATCTTTAATATTTGTTTTAATGACAATTAATTCACAAAAAAAAGAGTAGGGTTATACTTGTAAATGCGTCAAGTTTACAATGAGCATATACAATAAATACGCCTTATAATAAATATTTAATTAACCAAACCAACAATTCAATACACAAATCGTAATAGTAGTTTATAAATAATCCATAATAATTTAACTGCTATCGATAAGGAGCCATTGCTCGAAACGTCTAGCTATTTTTAATAGTTATTTAGGACTACGATTACCAAATATTATCTTCTATATATCAATTCAATACACACGTTTATAACATTGATGTGTTTAGCTCAACGTACAAACACGTTTATTGAACAGAGGCCTGTTGCTTCGACGTATACATTAGGTTTAATTTACGAAAACGAATGATACAAAGTAATTAAGACCAAAACAGTCGAGAACCTTAAATCTTACAATTACAAAATTATAATGTCACTACTATGCTATTTATAACTTTCCTTAATCCAAACACTTTGTATGCAAATTGTCAATTAATATTACTAATTAGTCCACGTTCCAAATTCCAATAAAACTGTCAATGACATTATTTATGCTCTGTATATTAAAGTAAATAACAAACTCAAGTGAACTTGTTAGTTTGTAAATGCTCTCAATAATTATAATGAATTTAGTAAACTGGGATATTAGATTAATTTGTTTAATTCAAACGTGTTTAGCGTGTTGTGTAAACTATTGTTGATCGCGTGTGTACATAATTGCGCTCAATATTACGTGGTGTCAGAGATTCGACGTGCGCGTGTCTATCTAGTCACTGTGAGTCAGCGTTTATTATACGCTATTTGAAACCGTTTCATATTTGGAGTGATTAGTATCGCACATTCCTGTGCGCATTTGGTCTGACAATGGCACGGTGCATTACTGTAACCGTTAGTTCGAATCCTACTTTGGTGTTTATTATGTTCTTAATTATGACTGTAAATTGTACAGCTGAAAGATCCCAGCCAGAGAGATTACAAACAAATTTATTATCAACACCAAGTCGGGCATATCATTATATCACTGTCAATGATTTATATTTTCATAAAACAATAAAGAAAATACGTAAAATATTCATATTTACGTTGTACTGCAACCTCCAATAACAAGTTGATGGCATTTACATATAAGTTAAATTAAGCGAACAATATTTGTTTATACTAAACTTGTCATCAGAATGCAGGCAATTCTATGGCTAGATGTTACAAAGCCAAACACAAAATTAGAATGTTTGTCTTAAAAAAGTCAGTATGTATCACACGCTCATCTTGTGAAATGACACTGCTGAAGTAGATCTTAGGCAATGGGTCAGGTTGGCGTACACAATTATTGCAGCTCATTAAAGTCAACTGCTGAAGGTAATGTGCTTTGTGGCAAAGATGAGGATTCGATTTCCCAGACCCTGTTACTGAACCTTTCTGTGTGTTGGAGGTAGCACTCTTATTAGAGTTTACAATCATTTCAATGCACAATATCGTATACAGAAATGGTAGTTACAGGCAGGTTCTTCTGGTCTGCAAGTGGAACACTAATGTTCAACTCCAGACACCCACATAGCAGTAGTTTCAGGGGCGCACCTTTACAATGACATCATTATCTTTGTATGAGTAATAGTAGTATTTGGAAGTGCGCCACTATCATATGAACCATTTTGACTTCTAACTGATACTGATATTAAATAAATTTCTCGGAAATAATTCTTGCGCCCATGAAATGATCTCTACAAATTACAATGCCTCCTCTGAATATTTCAAATTAAACTTATTTTAATA